GTGCTGCGAGCACGTCTCCGTGAGCAAGAAGGTTCACGGTGACACGCCGCTAAGGGAAACGCCCTTGCGACTATGCTGTGCACTCTCACGATCAGTGACCACAGGGCCGTATTGCTCGAGTGAGGGCAAACTCTGCTCGCATTGGCTTCAAGAGGCATGACTTGGTGTAGTAAGACCAGGCGCGAACACACCGCAACACCCTTTGGCCTAGTGCTCGGAAGGGGCAATGAAACTTAAGCATTCGCCGCTGGGGCAAAGTACCTTTGGCGAGTCCATGTGAGCTCGAAGAAGAACGGGAGCCGATGGGCGGAAAGAAAGGGCATGCTCACCCTTTAATGTCTAGAGAGGTCTCTCACTCCCACTTGGTGCATGCATGAAACGCCTCAGGAGACTCAAGCGCAGTGTCACCATCGATATCGGCTGCCAGGTAAGAGAGGTTACCGTCACTCCCGCTCTCCCACCATAGACGGAGCGCGGAGGAAGAGACAGTCATGTTAGGACATGAGAACGGTAGAAATAGGTGAAAAAGCCCGCACACTGGCAGCGGCCTAGACTCAATTCCCATAGACTAACTCAATCATGTTAGTTTTGGTTTCAGTTCAGAGCATGTTTGATTTACACGAATTATCGGTGTTTATCATTTGCTGTGTTGTTTGATAAGGTCCATTTGCCATGCCACCACAGTCTCTCTCATTTTGATCTTCTGCACTTGAGATAATCATGACAGCCACGTATTCAACTTGTGCTATAGAGTAAACCTTCTGTAAATGGCTACTAGGCGACAACCCAAACACAACACAAACACACTACTCTTCATTTCTGCCCTGTGCACCGAAAGCACTCAAGCAAGCATAGCCATTGCCACGTTGGCCAAGCATGATATGTACCCCACCCATGCATAGTCAGAAGTTAGCAGCTCCCACATAATCAAACTTCAAAGGTGCCTGCACAGTAAATGCGCAAGTGCAAATATTCTGGTGCAGTTGGGTGAAGAGATGGTATCAGAAGGCAAAACATTGCAGGCTAATCGCTCGCGACAAGTGTAGCATCAGTTTACATCACATTAGAGATGCAAACACATGCACAAGGGAAGAGTCGTCCACTGTGGCATGATGTGTAATGCTTCCACTATTTTAAGGGCGAAGTTCTTATACGTCGAGGCTTGTCCGATGGCTATGTTGGCGTGTTCCGTAACTGTGATGATGATCACGACCGACTAGCTTGTGCAGCATATTGTTACGTGAAGGAGACTGACTCAGAGGGGTAGTCACCGATGTATTTACAGACGGTTAGGCGAGCAGCGCCAGCCACACAGATTAGCTCGTGCCAGTCTATCTGCTTCGTCTTCTTCAGCTCCATGCACTGGCACGTAGCATGACCCCCGGCGGCGGAGGCACCGTCCCGGTGCTTTAAAGGTCGTTATATGACGCATTATTGTAGGGCTTGATCTGCGAGACGTGTACGATATCACTGGGCCGCATAGTAGATGATGATGGGCAGATGGGGCTGATCTCGTAGGTGACAGGTGTTACTTGACGCAATATACGATAGGGTCCCGTGTAATGAGACAGAAGTTTTTCGGATAGGCCCAGCCGACGATGAGGGGACCAGAGTAAAACGAGGGTACCGGGAGCGAAATGTACGTCTCTATGTTCCGCATCGTACCGACGGCATTGGTTGGTTTGCGACGCCATCAGCCGAGCGCGAGCGAGCTGACGGGCATGATCGGCTCGCGCAATCGCGTCGCGGGCATACTCGCTGGTGGACGAGGTGTGAGCTGAGATGACTGTGTCCAGTGGTAAAGTCGGCTCTCTTCCGTACAATAAGTAGAACGGCGAAAAGCCCGCTGTGTCGTGACGGGATGAATTATACGCGAAAGTTGCGTAGGGTAAGGCAAGGTCCCAGTCTCGGTGGTCGGGCGACACGTACATAGCGAGCATATTTGTTAAAGTGCGGTTAAATCGTTCCGTAAGGCCGTTTGTTTAAGGCTGGTAAGCGGTTGTCAGTGTGTGTTGCGTCGAACAAGAACGCAGAATGTCGGCGATGACTTGGGATAAAAATGTACGGCCACGGTCTGTGAGAAGCTGTCTCGGCGCACCGTGAATCAATATAACGTCCCGTAACAAGAAGTCAGCGACGTCGGTTGCACAGCTGGTCGGTAGAGCTCGCGTAATAGCGTAGCGTGTAGCGTAGTCTGTGATAACGGCTATCCATTTGTTTCCCAATGTTGATGTGGGAAAAGGACCAAGCAGGTCTAACCCAACACGGTAAAATGGTTCCGCGGGTATGTCAATTGGTTGAAGATGGCCAGCGGGTAGCAGCGATGGTGTCTTACGACGTTGGCATAGGTCACATGTGGCGACGTATCGGCGTACCGAACGAGCAAGGCCTGGCCAGAAAAAACGGCGCCGGACGCGCTCGTACGTGCGGGATACGCCAAGGTGTCCAGCCGTGGGAGCGTCGTGAAGTTCGGTGAGAACACAGCGGCGCAAATGCTTAGGCACAACAATGAGAAGGTCGGGCCCGTCTAGTCGGAAATTGCGACGGTATAGCACACCTTTTTGAATGACAAAGTAGCGGACGGAAGCATCATTCGTGGAGGATTCCATACAGCTGATGATGTCAAGCAGCTCTGGATCACGCTTCTGTTCTTCCCCAATATTAAGGAAGTCGGACACTGACAAGATAGAGTTCTCCGTGGGCTCGTCAGTGTCCTCAGGATCGTCGACAGGGTACCGGGAGAGGCAATCGGCATCACGGTGTAGGTGGCCAGATTTGTAGACCACCGAATAGGAAAACTCTTGCAGGCGCAAAGCCCAGCGACCAAGGCGGCCTGATGGATCTTTCAGAGAGTTCAGCCAGCAGAGTGCGTGGTGGTCGGTAACTACCAAAAATGGGCGTCCGTATAGATAAGGTCGAAATTTCGCTACCGCCCATACAAGAGCCAAGCACTCACGCTCTGTTATCGAATAGTTACGTTCAGGGGCGGATAGGAGGCGGCTGGCATATGCAATAACGCAATCATGGCCATGTTGTTTCTGAGCCAGCACTGCACCAATGCCATGCCCACTTGCATCTGTACGGATTTCCGTAGGGGCAGCAGGGTTGAAGTGTGCCAGAATCGGAGGGGTAGTGAGAAGAGCGACGAGCCTATGAATAGGATGCTCATTACCAGTGTTTATGCGGTGGCTCATACCGGTAGCTTTCCCCAACGGACGGCCGCTGATGTCAAATACGTCGATGTAGGACAGCAGAACCCGGTGGAGCTCATCAGTCTGCTGCGGTGTTAAGTTGGAAGCGATCATCGAAGTAATAGCGCTGTCAAAGCAAGTGGCAGACTGATGTTGAGCGTGGGGTTCAGAAGGGGCGGCCATCGCGAAAACATCTACCGCATTGTCTTCTAAGGTGCAGAGCAACGCTAAAGACATCCCTTGCGGCAAAACTTGAGGTGTCAAGCTAAAGTTGACAACTGGGAGGCACGTAGAATTTCCTGCGACGGACAGAATGGTGTGCGGTAATGTAATGCCACGGCTTATGAGAACATCGGTAATAGGGGTCAGAACATAGTCACCGTCGGGAACTGGTGGTATTGAGACGAGCTCTATGTAGGTCAGTGTCTGTGGAGGGAGGCGCGCGTGTCCCGTTGTGCAGAGGCGACTCGGCCGTTGTATTTACAGACGGTTAGGCGAGCAGCGCCAGCCACACAGATTAGCTCGTGCCAGTCTATCTGCTTCGTCTTCTTCAGCTCCATGCACTGGCACGTAGCAATATGATGTCTGGATATGCTCTACGATACATTTCCTATGACTAACAACCAACAACCACCACACCTACAAACTTTGTATTTGCGACTTCAGGCTAGATCAGGTACTACAAGGCAGTAATAATGAAGGCAAAATGAAATTCACAACTTAAAACAACATACCATTTATGACCTAGTATATGTTACAGTGCACCACTTTGTCACTCTTTTACACTCATGAGTGGTGAATGTCATGGATGATTTACAACACCAAACGATCCCACTACTTGGCCCACTCATCATCATTCAGTACATCTTCATGGATACACAAAGCTTTTTGTTGTTTTGTTCTTGATCTGCTCATGACACTGCCAACTTTTCTCTTACACCCCCCCCCCCCCCCACACACACACACACACCACTTCAGTCAGCTTAGCAAATACATGTGTACGTGAAAGGATCTCAACTGTTGCAAACTAAAACTAGCAACACCATCTGTTAAACTGCTTGCATATTTCACCTACGCAAGGCCAACTTTGCAACATGCCAGTGCAGTATGGGATCCCTTCCAGTCGGGGTTAATGAATTGAATTGAAAAAGTACAGAGAAAAGCTGCAAGGCTAATTTTATCGCGTCATTCTCGAAATGACTCCCTTTCTGAAATGCTTCAGTTGCTTCAATTGCCTATGCTGGCTCAATGCTGGAAATTTGGCCGACTTAAATTTCTTTTTCTTTTGTTATCAAAAGGTCACCTCAATATTGAAACTAAACATTATCTTGTTCCCAGGCCCACTAGCACTGTCAGATCATGCAATGAATTTCTGTTTTTGGTTTCAAAATGCAACCTTGGTGTGTCGAATTTTTTTTTTCCACGAACAATAAAAGAGTGGAATCAGTTGCCAGTATCTGTAATAAATTCAAAGAGCATCAAAAGCTTTGAAGAGTGCATTAAAAATATATCGTAACCTTGAGTATTGCTAGTATTATACGTGCATTGCCATGTTGTTTGAAAATACATTGTGTAGTTACTTCATATTGCATACTATACCACCATCACAATATATGTATGTACGTTTTTTTACAGTTTTTAAAATATTTTTTCTTTACAAAAATATGTATTTTTCTAGTTCTGTCTTCATTATAACACGTTGCACTTATTCTTGCTTTATGTTAACAATTACTGTACCCACCCTGTTACGGCCATGACGGCCAACAGGAAACAAATAAAAAAATGACTTCCTATGCACAATACACTCACCAATGATCCTGCCGATTTCTTTTGCAGGAACAACCATGAGCTCAGTATCTTTATCAGGACCTTGCCTCCAGTTGTTCATGCCACTTGATAACTGACGGCAGCCTTCACGGCAAGTTTGGCTCCTGCCAGATCGTCTGGGAAGAAGAAAGAAAGCAAATATCTGCTTTCTGCTCATCTGCGAAGGAGTATTCACTTTTAAAATATAAATACATTTAACAGTACGTGTGTGTGCGTGCATGTGTGTGTGTGACACAGTAATACATCAATAAAAACTGGGTACAAAGAGCAAAAGGCAATAAAACTGAGCATGACAGTCAAAGCAAAAGCTGAAACAGCGGCTTTTCTAGAGCTTTTTCTAAAAACTACTACAAGTACACTTGCATGATAGTCACTACGCCATAAATGATAATTTTTGTCGTCAAGTAGGGATGCATCTACTACGCCATTACAGTGAAACTTTAGTTGAACAAACTTCAAAGGACCCCAGAAAAAAGTTCATTAAAGCCAAAGTGCTGAACTGAAATGCAGTGCTGGTTCAGCAAGATCAGAATTTGGAGCAATTTTCGAAGCAGGAAAAACTCTGTTTTGGTGCAGAGTGAGTGAGTGAGTGAATGAGTGAGAGAGAGATAGAGAGGAAAGGCAGGGAGGTTAACCAAGCTTCGCTCCGTTGGCTACTCTACACATGGGGGGGAATGGGGGATAATAGAAAGGAAAGAGATAAAAAAAAGAGTAGTAAGATAGGAAAGGATGAATAGCCAGCTCGAGACTACACAGCACGATCTCACACTGTTCTTTCACAACATGTGACGAGTGGAATCGCCTGCCTGCGTCCCTTATCGCTATCAGAGACACAGATCGTTTCCGCAAAGCACTAACAAACGAATTATAAGCCTGCACCAAGCTGCTTCAGTACTGCATTTGCAATTTATTGTTTGTTTGCCTCTTACTTTTTATGCTACATCTTTTTTTTGTTGTTGTTGTTGTTAGTCAATATGCAATTTTGTTTTGCTCTGGTACTTTGTATTCATTTTTTTTTGTCATTCTTGATATCCCGTATGTTTTCGTTTCTCTTTTTGTACCATTACTATTTATAGCTATATTTATGCACCAAAGTACATAATTCAATTCTTGTGTTTTTATTATCCACTGTCCTTCTCTGATAATCACTATTCTCTTTATCTTGTATTATATTTTAGTTAGCAGATGTATAAATATATTTTCATTATTACTGTTTGTGCTTTATCACCTACACTAATATATTCTCCTTTGTAATATTGTTTTTTGCTTTATATTTCGTTGTAATATACTTATTTTTTGCATGTATCGATGTACCTTAGCCCTTACCCTCTATAATGCTTCATGTAAGCCCTGAGGGTATAAATAAAGTGCCCGTGAAGTCTGGTGATCCTCCACTTTGAATAAAATGTGTCTAAATTTTCTATAAACATTCTATTAAAATGTGCACTAGAAACCTTGCTACAATGTGAACAAGGAGGCAAGACCAAAATTCAGAGAGAAGCCAATAATCACAAGTGTGTGGGCACACGGTTTCTGCATGTGACAGTTTTAATAATGTAATTAAAAAAAAGACCTTATAAAGAAACCAGCAGTCTAATAATAAAAAACGACAAAGAAAACTCATTGAAAATTATAACTGCATAGACTGGGCATCATCACAACTTACTATGCATTATGCTTCAATATACTCGATAATACCCCAGTCCAATGGCACCTGTAATGTGACATTATGCGTTAATGTCATTTTGTTGCTGCATAGTGAATGACATTCCCCCATTGAATTTGTTCACTGAACTCATGGAAGCGTGACAAGTGAACTTTCGCCAACAGGTGCTTGACAAGAGATTACAAGATCGACACATTAAACCAAATGTGAACGATGCTGAGATGTTTATTAAAGGTTGCTGTTTATATCCAGTAACTTTTTAACATAAGACACAATAGTGGAAACAATATATGCAGCTATATTTTCTTTCCCGGGCTCAGATTTGATGCTATAGCGTGCCTCCTGTCAATCATGTTTACACACACTCCTTGTTTGTTGTTTTGGTGCTGCGTCGCCGCATTAGATTCGCTATTAACGCAGGCACGTGTTGGACACCAGTTTAGGGAGACTAGTGCTTCCCCCAAAATAAAAATTAGTTTGAAAACACAGTTTTCTGTTAATCACTGATGAAGTCAAAGCCGTAAGAGCAGTCAATGTGAACAAGTTATTTTGTAGGCGTAGCTCTAAATGCCGTGCAGTCGGCAATATTGCCGACTGCAAGTTGCGAGCAGTTTTAAGCTAGTCTTGATTTGGATATGAGTGAGGTTTTTTTTTTTCCCTACTGATGTTGTTTCATCACGAGGCAGTATATTTTGAACCAGCCGGACAACATTATGTAAGTTATATGTGGGATTTGTAACATTTTGCTAGCCGCCTCCCGATAAATGTTGACATCACGCGAATTTCATTTCACATTGCCGCGTAGATCAGGAATGCATAATCGCAATGGCCCTCGTTTTGAATGTAATTCGCTACGAATGGCATAATACCGGCCGTGATACCGGTTCAATATTCACATTGAAGTTTTCCAGCATTGGTGTTTCATTTTCTCTTTCAAGCTATTGCAACTTCATGATTTGCATGCCTCAGTACATAATACTGTTGTGTACCACTGTGCAAAGAAACCACATTGCCTTTTTTATTTCTCATTAGTGATAAAGAAAAAAAAGCTCTTAGCTTCCCTTATGAATTCACCTGAGATGACTGAAAGGCAAAAACATCTTCCTTTTCTTCCCATTCAATGCATTGAATGTTTCCCGCTCTCCTACGGGCTATTTCTGCACACTACGAGGTCTTCTAACTGTTTCAAGTATTGGAGATAAGGCTATCTTTCTGCTCCTCAGCTGATTATGCACTATCCTCATGATCGGTCCATTTCCAATGATGCGAAAATGCAATACGATGCTGCCAAGTTATGTGATCTTCTGATACAACACAAAATATCATGATCTGTGACGTGATATGATGACGTCTTCACGCAGTGATTATCTTTTGCATAATTTCTGTTGACGCCGTCGACACCTGAAGATGCCGGACGCCGCCAGCGATAATTTTTCACTTTCGATGAGGCATTTAACGCTATACCTTAATGCACTGTACGACTGTTATTCCGTGAAATTGCAGCTGCCGCTGGTGTTTGGGAGAGGATGCTTGCAGTAATCAGGTAGGATAATTGGCCTCTTAATATATCTACGTAGTACACTCGAATATTTAGAAGTCATTTACAACCCAAATATTTTATATATTATAAGTGGTAACTCAAGAGCACCCTTCATGTTTGGAAGCATGGCAATTGGTATCGCTAAACGGTACTGCGCTGCTTTCGAACAGTCAACAAAGGAGTCTAATAGTAGCAAGGCTGCCTCGCGATCACTCCAGTGTGCAACTCTAATATTACACCTTGAAATTGAATGGCAGCCCATGAAAACCACATGAGTTATCGGCGAAAGAAGCGCCAATTATCATGTAATGTGTTGTAATGAATGCGTGCTTTTAAGGCTAAACAGAGTGTTCCATGTGATGAAAGCGTCCGGGTCAACGCTCATTCGGCTTCTACTCTGCTGCTCACTACCGAATTAAGAGGACAGAGGGAAGAATACAGAAACAGAGCTAAGCAGCCGGATAATAAAGCTACAACAATCTGTCCACGAATACACAGATGAGCTCAAGCAACTGACAACAGGGCGCATTTTTCACGCCTGTCAGCTTAGATCAAGTTGAGACTTGAGACTTTCATAGGCCACGATTGCAGTAATCGTGCCACATATGAACCTGTTTTGTTTGTTTCATGACTGTTTTATTGTTTAAGCTATCACATAGTGAAATCACCTGACATAGTTGCTCATTTTCTGGCACTTGCTTTCTCTCAGTCACAACACATGTAATAATCAAAAGGTCTGCGAACGAAATGGATGATCATATATATCTCTGGAAGCAGTCTAGTGGCGTTTTGTCCTATTTAACGCATGAACATCAGACGTATGATGTGCTAGACCACTAGACAGTAGCAAACATCAGGAAACATTCAACACACAAGCTTTTAGTATAAGCTCCTAGAAAGGCTTCTCTCAAAAACCAACTTTCAGTGAGTCGAAAAAGCAACTCTGAGTAAAGCAAACGCCACGGTGACAAAATAATCTTCTGCGGCACGGAATATTGGCATCAGCAATCTGGTATCCACATAACAGACAACATGCGAGAGTTTCAATCAAGTAGTCGGGAACGACACATGGTTACGAAATGAGCTGTATGTCCAGAACAATAAGTAGTTCACGATTCTCGTGTACAAATTTCCATTGTAGCTTAAATAATGTGAATACAGCTAAAAACCGAACGACATAGAAGATTCGAATGCAGCCGCGGCATTCGTGTGCGCTAGAGACGACGCGGCAGCATGTCTACTCCGGCTGCAGAGTAGACATGCAGCACCTGGCGGCGAAACACCGCACTAATACCGACGGCCGCTTCCCATTGAAATCGGCTCCTTCACCCAGGCACTGAAAAAATAGAGGAGGCGCTGGCCACAATAAATGGGTCATAAGCTACCTATTGCAACAAAAAAATCAAGGTGCAAAGTTTTTGTGCCAGTGCTGCTTTAATATGCTCTGATGGTGCGATTGGATCGCCAACTATGTCTGCAATGTCGGTGACATTGCAGACATAGTTGGCAAAGACGAGCCATAATAGTAGTAGCACGGCCGCTGGATGAATGAGCACACGATACGGCCCGCCACGTCGAGCAGCTTTCTATAGGAGAGTGCGTGTCAGCCGTAGCGTCAGTTGCGGCTGCTGCAGTGCGACGGGGCAGGGATGGGAGGGGCGGGAAAACGAGTGGCACTAGCTCTCTCGGGGCACCAGCCGCAGCAAATTAGCTGGTGTTTTGTCACAACAGTGACCCACTCAGTTGTTCTAATCAGTGTTTTTTATCTTAATTATTGCAACGATGACATATCGCATATTTAGTACACTACGAGGCACTATCTAGTTAAAAAGCCAATTGATTTTTCTCGTGCGTGCCGAACCACCTGACATTTTTTTTCAGAACCAGCTTCTTGCTTTGAGGCTGAAAGA